TCAAGTTCCACCTTTGAGACGTGGTCTGGAACGCCTTATCCCAGATGTGACCATGGGAACCTCTAACTAAAGGGGCTCCTGCTGCTCAAGCACCAGGTCAAGGTGTAGTGTCTTCAGAATGGCAACCAACCCATGGGGCCAAGAGCCAGAGCACAGTGCAAGGGCTACGGGCTAGGTGAGTGCAGCCGTGAGGCTGAAACCTTGCACTCCTGCATCGGTGGGATGCAGGGGCATCACCACTGGGCTGGGTGCAGCCTTCAGGATCTTTCTGACATTCATCATTGGAAAGGTCCGGCCATTTCGAAGAGATAGAAACCCTAGGTTTCGCTGCTGCTCTACCACATTGGCTGAGTAGCCCTGGGCGCCCTAACTTAAATAATGTATCTGAGCCATTGTTTTTCATCTTGAAGCAAGGATTCAGATAGTGCCCCAGCTGTTCTGAAGCATGTTGCCACATCCGAGAACCTCCTGAGGTCTACAGATCCCAAAGTGGTCCCTCTAGATTCCTTATCCTTCAAACCTAAATAGGGGTTTGAGTGGCTTAAAAAAATGAGAGGAGGAAAAATAAAGTTGAAATTAACTTGGAGTCTTTAGTAACAAGTTCATCTCAAACAAACAAACAAACAAACAAACAAACAAGCATCTCTATAAACATTAGCCAGGCTCCTCATGAACACCGCTGGTGCTGTGACCTCCTGACTTGTAACCAGGTGGGGGCGAGCTGCTTTCCGAAGGGCTGAGCCAGAGGTGTGGAAGAGAAATCCCTAAAGACTTACCAAAAATGCTCTTCACTCCCTGTTCTTCCACAAGGTAGTCCACATACCGGCCAATGACGGAAAAGTTGATTTCTCTAAAAGACAACGGGAAAATGGCAATCATAGAGACTTAGAGTCTTAGTCAATGAAGGCCCAGATTGTTTGTTAACCAAACCCACTGCATTGTGGGGATTCTCATAGGGTTTCGGAGACTTTGCCAATCTTTACAGGAGCAGACAGCCTCATCTTTCTCCCTGGAAGCAGCTGGTGGGTTTGAATGGCTGACCTTGCGATAAGCAGTCCAATGGCTTACTTGACAGCATCGCCAGAGTCACCTGTCCTGAGTCCCCAGTCTACACACTCAGACCTAAGTTTCTATTTCCTGTTACTTTTTAGCCTTCCCAGGTGTGGAAATCCAAGTCAATCAACAACTTTCCTGAAAACAGAAACGTAACCTAGTCAATCAGGTCTTGCCTGCTCAGTTTAACCCAGTTTGGGACCTCTTAGTCCCAAATAAGGGAAGAACAGGCTCTCCAGCATCTCTGCCAACATAGCTTCCCTGCACTGTGTCTGTGCCCACAAAAACCCTACTGCTTGGTCCTGCACTTCACAATTCTTGTCTGGCTTCCAGACCACCCAGTCTCTAGTTTATGAACTGAAAAAGACAGTTT